GTGCGCGTATACAATTTCCACCCCCGAGCGAAATAATATTCGTGCCGACATCTGCACAGGGTTGTGGCAAGCGATGGTGTCGGTGAGTTTCCTGTGATCTTCACAAGATGGCGAAGGCTGGCGTGTTTTCCACCCTCGGTGCATCAGGGAGGGTTGGCTCCCTCTCTCTTCCTTTCTTTGTCCCCGTTTCCCCTTGCTCGCGAAAGAAGCTGTTTCCATGTTGCAACCGGGCGGGGAGGAAAGAGTGGGGAAGGGCCGAGGGGGAGGAAGCCATCGGTCGATCTTTAGGGAGATTTTCGTTGATTTACAGCGCCATTATCGATGCGACGCTCGCGCGTCAACCGGTTTCTCCTCGGGCATATGGAGACGCCGTAAAAGGGCTGTAAATCCATTATTTACACGGGCGTGCGAGAACCGACTGGAAGAAGGTCGGCCTTCCGTGAGTTACGAGACCGACGGTTTCCGCGACGCCTCGTAAATATTTATTTCCAGCCCCGGCCAGAAGCGACACGTCGATAAAACTGATTATGCAGGCGCGAGATGCATGTATACATGTATAGACAACGCGTTCGTACATCGAAAATTGATTTGTTCGCGCTGTTCGGGCTCCCACCCGGTATTAATCTGGATTTCAATAACATTCTCGTCACACGGGTCTCGCCAAAGATTTTAATTAGCTCATTGACACGCATATTATCGCAATCGCTTTTAATCGCGCATTATCACTTGATCTTTTTATCCTCTAACAGTTTGGATTTTTTATTTATCCCGAGTAATATTTGCAACGTTTGTTAAAAAAATCTTATCTATATATTTTATTTATTATTTATTAATGTATATTATATTCACGATAATAACTTTTTATTGTTGCTTGTTATTAATTTAATGAAAAATATTTTATTCCTTTTCTTCTGAAATTGCTTTACGTTGGGGGATAATTAAGGATGTTTTGTATGTACAATCCCAGCAAAAAGTAGCTGAAAATCAATATTGATGAATATATCCACTTTTGGTGTATTTTGAGTAAGAAATTGTGTGGAATATTACAATTTGATCTTAGCTACAGCGCAGAGATGTATTTTTTAATATTTATTGCGTTTTTACTGAAATATTTCGAATTTTGTTAATCAAAATGATTAACTTTTGGCAGAGAATTTTGCCTTGTGACAGATACATGGTTAGCTTCATTGAATTATATTTAACATCTTTTTAACCAGTTAGTACTTGTATAATATTATTTGACTAAATATTTCCTCTGTATCTAACTTTTGCAAATTTTAAACAAATTCTGAATATTATTTCCATGTGTTTTTGTCATTTGAATCAACGTGGTTATACATTTCCCATAAAAACACATGTTAATTACAAATTAAAATCCTTATAACTTGTGAAATAAATAACGCTTTAGTGAATCGATTTAAAAATTGTACTGAAGATTCTAAACATATGTAAGAATATTCTGTACAATTTTCATTAAATTCTCAATAATTTAAAAATAGGTACAAAACATCCTTAATCGAAATGATTAACTTTTGGCAGAGAATTTCGTCTTGTGACAGATACATGGCTAACTTGATTGAATTATATTTAATATCTTTTTAACCAGTTAGTACTTGTATAATATTATTTGACCAAATATTTCCTTTGTATCTAAACTTTTGCAAATTTTAAACAAATTCTGAATATTATTTCCATGTGTTTTTGTCATTTGAATCAACGTGGTTATACATTTCCCATAAAAACACATGTTAATTACAAATTAAAATTTTTATAACTTGTGAAATAAATAACGCTTTAGTGAATCAATTTAAAAATTGTACTGAAGATTCTAAACATATGTAAGAATATTCTGTACAATTTTCATTAAATTCTCAATCATTTAAAAATAGGTACAAAACATCCTTAATCGAAATGATTAACTTTTGGCAGAGAATTTCGTCTTGTGACAGATACATGGCTAACTTGATTGAATTATATTTAATATCTTTTTAACCAGTTTACTTGTATAATATTATTTGACTAAATATTTCCTCTGTATCTAAACTTTTGCAAATTTTAAACAAATTCTGAATATTATTTCCATGTGTTTTTGTCATTTGAATCGACATGGTTATACGTTTCCCATAACAACACATGTTAATTCGGTGCAAATTAAAATCCTTATAACTTGTGAACGCTTTAGTGAATCGATTTAAAAATTGTACTGAAGATTCTAAACATATGTAAGGACATTCTGTACAATTTTCACTAAATTCTCAATATTCTGAAAATAGGTACAAAACATCCTTAAATTAATCAGGCATACAAATTTAGGAAATCTCCATATTTTCGAGAAATTTCCGAGTGTATTGATTTCCAAGCTGGTTTTAATAAGTAGTCGCGAGACGGTGGTGAACGAGAATGCATTTCGTATCGACCTTAAACGTTTCAAGCGAGTTACGAGCGTGCTTTTTCTACGGCGAAAATACGCCATCGCTCGGACGGGGGGATGATTTTTCTTTTTTTATTAGGACATAGATTCACGCGAGGTGATTTATGAGGCGGTGGTGGAGGCGGAGGCGGCGCACGCTCACGTGACGCGGGATGAAAATATCTCCTCGCATGATTCGCGATACATCAATTTTATGCAGAACGCATCGATCGATCCGCCTTTCAATTTTCATGTAAATTTCGCGGCGATCGCGTGTCCCCATCGCTTTCTCTTGTTCTCCCCGACGCTTGTTCCGGCTCGAGATCGCTGTGATGTATGGGGCCCAACGGGACAGACACAAGCGTGGACGCGATTGCGCGGCAACCACAATCGCAATCCTCCTCGTAAAGGAGAAATGAGATGGAGCATTCTATCGCAACGTCGCTTGCGTTCCATGTAAGCATCATGGACGCCAATATATATATATTTTTTTTTACGTTAAAGGAGGCGCATCCTTTTTCAGATTTATCTCAGAAAGAAATGTCGATAATATGGTAACTTCCTGACACAAGAATAAATTATATATGTCTAGTAAAATTTGTAATTTTTTGTTAATTAAACACGCTTTGCTCTATAAAATATTTAATTTTATTATTTCTTGTACAATGTCTCCTTTCTTTTACTTTGGAGATACACACGTGGCAATTTTCAGGGATAAATTTAATTATTTGATGGATCAAAATTAATAAGAACTTGTAGCTCGTTATTAATTTAAAGAGATTTTGTCTTGTTCCATTTATCATCTTGTTTTATACCGTAGAAAATAATTAAATGAAAAATGTTAAAAATTAAAAATAATAAATTAAGTGAACGCATAAATTTGAAAAATTTTCCAGAAAATTATAGAGAAATTCCTAAGTGTATCGATGAATCGATACTTGGGTCGGGTGAGAAATATGGGCCGGGTTGTCGTCGTCAGGAGGGAAGCAAGAAAATTCGGTAGAGAGAATGTCGCGATCGAGTGTCTTGATTTATCGGGATGTATCGAGTGCACGCCAGCCATCCTATCGGGCTCTTTGGGAGGAAATAGGAGATACGTTAGTTCGACGAACGGCCGCCTGTGATAATTGAAACCGTTAATTAAATCTCGGGGATAAGCTTCGCGGCTAAATGAGTTTTTAGATCGCCGCCTCTCGAAGTAGCCAAGGGATGAAATCTCTGTCGTTTCATTCCCGATGTCGCTTACCAACGCTTGCAAGCGATATTTGTATCTCCCTTTGATTCCTCATATTGTTTTATGTCACTCAGAAGCTAAAAAAGTCTCTTCTCTCTGCTTTTAAAATATATTTATTGTAAAAGCTGGAAACAATTTTAGCAAAAATAAATCTAGTATCTTGTGAATTTTCTTTTCTTTTAGAATAGTATTAATTACGAGATTAAAAGTATAAATTGTAAATTTATTAAATAAATGAAAAATAATATCCTAATATTATAAGAAAATATTAATATAGTAATTTAAAATTAATTAATGAAGGTAATTAAATTTAAAAATAAATTACAATTTAAAAATAAATAAAATGTTAATATGCAATTTTAAAAATATGTTTAAAAAATTAAAATATTTATAATAATTTTAAAATTTATGAAATATTTTACTTGCATGTTTGATGTCAAAATTTAAAAATTTAATTATAAAGTTAATTTAAAATCTTAAAATTCTTTTACACAAAAGCAAGTTACTTTAATATTAAAATAATTATTATTAGATGAAAATAATCTTAAGAACAATATTAAAGGAATTTTGTTTGTTTTAAATAAGTATTAATTTTTCGCTATAAATAGATGAAATTTTAACTAAATTAATAATATTCGTATAAATACACGTACTCCTAATGACATAGGGTCTTGGTGTTTGAGCTATCGATGCTTTATTACAACATTCGGCGGTGAAATGATTTATTTGCAATCAGTGACAAGTTCGATATTCAAGTGTCAGCAGAAAGTTTGGCGGACGGATTTTCCGATAAGTATCTCTCTCTCTCTCTCTTTCTCTTTCTCAGAGAAGGCCGTCGTCCTAGTCTAATTTGCGGATCGCTAAAAGGAAACTACGTCGTTCGAGGGGGAGGTGGGGGGGGGGGTGGAGAAGAATTTATAGTTGCCGTAATATCGAAAACTCACCGTGTGAATAGTTCGCCAGGGGGACGATATAAATTTCGGGGACTAATCCCATTCTTCTATTCTCGCGAACAAACTCTGGCGATAATTTTTCGTCTGATGTAAATCAGAGGTCCTCGAGGAGCGTCCTCCAGGATTCGCGCGCGCGCGCGCGCGCGAAAGCTTCTTAAATACAATTAAAAAATTAGCATGTCTGCTAAGAAGGTAAGAAATATTGACGACAGCCGGAGAATAATGTTTCCGTGGAAACTTTATCCTTACTCCTGTTTTCCAATTGCTGCATAAGAGAATCTTGGAGGAAAGGCTACAATTGACTTATTGCTAGAGAAAATTGCAAACGTTAATAATAGTAGTTTACTTCCTAATATTTTTATACGCCAACCGTAAGACGTTTGATTCATCTCTCTCGTTTCAGGTCAAAGAAATCTGAGGAAATATCCGGTCATGGTGTTCATTCACGGCGAGAGCTTCGAATGGAATAGCGGCAACCCTTACGACGGCACCATATTGGCAGCTTACGGCAACGTCGTCTTCGTTACAATTAACTTCCGACTTGGCATCTTAGGTAAGAAGCGTGGATCTCTGAAGGGAAAAGAGAGAAAAATTCTTAAGAGAGACGTAGCGAGGATCTCGGTTTGCATCTTCTTCTTATCGCTCTTAAAGTTCGCATCTGCAAAGCGGAGGAGGCTATCGATCGATGCACGCCATGCGGAAAAATACTAACGCCTAATATACTTTTACTGTTCCGTATAAATAACTTCGTTACGGCTCGTCGTTTGCCAAGGCTGCTTGCTTGCCCGCCTGCCTCGCAAACTTCTTATCTAAATTTTTATCGCCCCGAGCTTTTCAATATCGAACCTCGCCCTCTCTCAAAGAAAGTTCACCGCGCGATACAAGGCGGTCGACTTATCACGTCGCCGGAAGTGTAAACGACTCTCTACGTCGTCTCAATTTAATCGCGAATAAACCATCGGGAAAGCCGCAGGAGAGGATAACGATCGGAACGACGAGAAATGAAATTTCGCTCGGGGGTGGAGGCCGGGAAAAAAATATTCATGCGAGCAACGATTCAACGGCAATGAGGTCGCGTTAGATCGCGACGCGATGCTTTTTCCAGCATGAAAAAAAAGAAAACTTTAAATTATTCCACATCGTCCCGGGGTGTGCGCCTTTCTCCCTCTCTCCTTCTCCCTCATTGTTCAAAGTAACCGAGAGACTAACAGCGTATATTTCGTTGCACGAGAGCGGCGGTCATGCGAAAGCGTCATTATTCAGAAAGTCCGTTAAAAACTGCCATCCAGAAGCGCGGCTCATCGTGGCAGCCGCAATCCGAAATTGTCGTGTACAATGCTCGTTCTGAAGGGGTTAACAGGGAAAATTCCCCCGGACAATCTCTTCTCGCGAGATGACAGCGACGGCGCGATGCAAATGGTCGGACGGGGGGGGGGGGGCGGCGAGGGGGTGAGAGGGTGGAGCTCGTGGCTCGCGCTCGGGATAGCGGGTATACATTCGGTACATCCGGTAAGTGGAGTGGTTTCCGCGGGAGGAAAAAAGAGGCGGACGCGAAACCATAATCATAAATTAGGTTAAAGTGCTGGGGAAGCGCTTAGTAACCCCGACCCCCTTACTAGAGCCCGGCCCGGAGTTAGCTCCCCGTGAGGAGCCTGCGGATAACTTCGACCCCTCGCCAACCCTCGCCGCCTGCCATGTCCGCAAAACAGGGGAAAAATATGGTCCCGGGCGCGCGAAAGTCGGCCCTCGAGCAAAAAGAGCCCCGGCGATCGCAAGAGTGCTTCATGTTTAAGGGGAGGGATTTTACATTCTCCCCCTTAATTAATTGCGATGCTAAATATATAAAGAGTCTCCGGGGAATCTCGAAATCTAAAATGCCCCCTTCGCCTAGTTACGCGGGGTTCCCGATAAGAAATGAAAATAAGAAAGGAAGTCTCTCTCGGAGGTTGCATCTCCTTCAGATTGAATATAACTGACACTTACGAGAGATTCTTATTTCCGAGATAACAGATCTTGCATCGTAAAAATTTGAATATGATTCCTTAGATTATCGCGTTCCTTACTTTTGAAGATTTTTAGTTAATCTGAGAAAATTTTTCCCATTTTTCGTCGAGATTTGTTTTCCTAGATTTTCATATAACATTTCAAATTCTGAGATTTCCAGAAGAAATCTTAGATTCTTGAGATTCCAGAGTAATTATTTTTAAATATTTTCTTTTAAATTTTATTTCTAATTTTATTTTAATATTTATTATCTTAATTTTATCTTTAGATTTTCCTTAATTAATAATTCCCAGACTAATTATTTGTAAATATTTTCTTTTAAATTTAAATTTAAATTTTATTTTAATAATTATTATATCTTAATTTTATCTTTAGATTTTTCTTAATTTAATCAATAGTTGCCAGAGTAATTATTTTCAAATATTTTTTCTTAAATGTAAATTTAAAAATTTTATTTTAATATTTATTATCTTAATTTTATCTTTAGATTTTTCTTAATTAATAATTCCCAGACTAATTATTTGTAAATATTTTCTTTTAAATTTAAATTTAAATTGTATTTTAATAATTATTATCTTAATTTTATCTTTAAATTTTCCTTAATTTAATTAATAGTTGCCAGAGTAATTATTTTCAAATATTTTTTCTTAAATTTAAATTTTAAAATTTTATTTTAATATTTATTATCTTGATTTCATCTTTAGATTCTCCTTAATTCAATTAATAATTGCGAGACTTTTTATTGTAGGTTTCCTGAGACCTGGAATTAGAGACGACACAGCGAGCAATTTTGGGTTACTGGATCAAATAGCGGCGTTACTTTGGCTCAGGGAAAACATCGCGGAGTTCGGCGGGGATTTTGACAGAGTCACCTTGATCGGCCACGGAACCGGAGCTATATTTGCTAACTTACTTCTAATCAGTCCGGTTGCCAACAAGAAAGGTAAAGAAAAAGTCGATAATTTTTACATCTGCAATTCTTCGTTTCTCTCTTGCTATAACTCTTGAGGTTTCTCTTCGCTCCTTCAAATCTCTACGATTCATTTCCCATTTCGTTGCGAGATCGTTATTCGACTCTTGCCAATTTCCGCCAATCATTGCGGGAAAAAACAGGATCCCCGACGTACACTCGCTCGCGAGAATCGAAAGAACGATATGCAATCCGGGCTAATCCCACCTCTCGCTGTAATTGGAAACATTATCCGTAGTCATAGGAGCGCACGGTGATCGCGCACAGAGATCGCGATTTCCGAGTCGGCCGGAGATAATCGCGGGATTAATTGGAGGAATCAGAGCGGGAAAGATAGGCATACGTGCGTTCGCATAAACGCAACACATCGAGACGATGTTCCGATGTGCGTTTAAGCAAATTGGTCCGTCGATCACAGACGAATCCACGGAAACTGAACACCGAATTAAAGTAAAAGTGCGAGCACTTATTTAACTCAAGTAACTCCGCGAAGGACGGCGACTCTATCGGATCGCTGAATATTCAGATATCGACGATTACCCCTTTCTTGAGTCTCTTCTCTTTTCGAGTTTGACAAGGGGCCAGGAATCACTGGTCTACACGTGTTCGGGGATGAAGCGCACATCGACCGCGAGCACTTTCAAGCACTCTCGGGCACCCGGCGATGGTGCTCGGGGTCAGCTGAGAACGAGCGAGGAGGCAAGAAAGAAGACGTCGACCATTTTTCACCCGACCGGCTCGCAATAGCGGACCCGGAGAGAAGGAACCTTTCTCTTCCGGTCGAGTGCACACAATGCCATCGCGTCCGGCCGATAATTATATTGTGCAATGAAAAATAACCGGACTTAATATTTTACACGTCGGGACAGAAATGCCTGGCGGTGTCACGCGAGGGTTCTCAGACTTCGGTGACGTTTTATATATTTATGTCAACGTCTCTTTCGCGTCTTTCGCTCATCTAACATGGCCGTAATCATTTGTCGGATCACGTTTGGAGGAGCGATAAATAAACAGCAAACAGCTTTTTCTATGAGAAATTAGATTCTTGAGATTCCAGAGTAATCATTTTTAAATTCTTCGAACATTTTCTTTTATCTTTCAATTTTAATTTTATTTTAATATTTTATTAGATTTTAATTTTATTTTAATATTTTAATATTATTTATTATCTTAATTTATTTATTACTTTATATTATTATTTATTACCTTAATATTATTTCAAGATTTTCCTTAATGTATCTCTTCTTGCATTTTTCAAACTTTTGAATTTTAAGAGAGATTATTGTATTTAAGAAGAATTTATGATAATTTCGAATATTATTATCTTTAATTTTTGTTTTGAGTATTTTCTTTTATCTTTTAATTTTAATTTTATTTTAATATTTATTACTTTAATTTATTACCTTAATTTTGTTAAATTATAAATATTATTTTAAAGATTTTCGTTAATATTTTACTGTTATCTTTAATTTTGTTGAGCATTTTCTTTTAGCTTTTAATTTCAATTTTTAAAAAAATATTTATTATCTTAATTATCTTAATCTTTTAATTAAGATTTTCCTTAATGTATTTTTTCTTACTTATTAGACTCTTCAAACTTTCGAATTTTAAGAGAGATTAGTTTATTTGAGAAGAAGATTTTTGATAATCTCGAGTACTATCATTTTTAATTTTTTTGAGTATTTTCTTTTAGCTTTTAATTTTAATTTTATTTTAACATTTATTATTTTAATTTTATTTTAAAATTTTCTTTAATGTATTTCTTATATTCTTTAACCTTTCAAATTTTAAGGGAAATTAGTTTAAAAAAAATTTTTGATAATCTCGAGTACTATCATTTTTAATTTTTTTTTAGTATTTTCTTGTAGCTTTTAATTTTAATTTTATTTTAACATTTGTTATGTTAATTTTATTTTAAGATTTTCCTTAATGTATTTCTTATATTCTTTAAACTTTCGAATTTTAAAAGAGATTAGTTTAAGAAAAATTTTTGATAATCTCGAGTACTATCATTTTTAATTTTTTTTTGAGTATTTTCTTTTAGCTTTTAATGTTAATTTTATTTTAATACCTATTACCTTAATTTTATTTCAAGATTTTCGTTAATATTTCTCTTCTTGATGATTAATTTCTGTAAACTTTTGAATTTTAAGCGACTTTAGTTTATTTAAGAAGAATTTTTGATAATTTCGAGTATACTTTTGTCTTTTTTGGAAGAAAAACTCAAGCATTGTTGGGCCGCATTGAATCAGCAGGGTTATTAATCTGTGTCCCTCTTTTGTTGGCGCAGGTTTGTTCAAACGAGCTATCCTGATGTCCGGATCGGCTATGAGCGCGGACGCCATCGGAAAGGCGCCACTGCAAATCACGAAGCAGGTAAAGAAAGCCGCATAATAGTCGCGAATAAAAACGCGAAAGATGAGGATTGATGCGCGTGGATTTCAGTTTCGCGGAATGACAAATCGTTACGCGCGGCATCCATTATCATTAATCCTACGATTGACTTAATTTCTGAATCTCAAAGATCTCTATTCGCGTTCCCGGTTCTTCCCTCGGGTTCTTCGAGTCATTAGATATAGTCGCTCCCGAACGTTTTAAATATTTCATAAAAGTTTTTAACGCGTAACGAGATGGACGAGCAGACGTGCAAAAGAGGGAAGCCTTTAGCAATTTTAAATATTTCATCAAAAGAATAATATGTACGATTTTGGGATTAAAATGCGAGAGAGGTATTTTTCGAAATTTCTAAAGCATACATTTTCCTGAATTTCTTCAAATATCCGGTTATTTTATGTTTTTCGGAAAATTCGCTGATTTTTTTAATATACTTAATTCCTCGAAGCCCTAGATAAATTTCAAACTAGGTAGGATAATTTACATAAATTGCAGAGGATTCTCGATCCCTTATCCTGAAATTTTAAAAGTAAGATTCCATTTTGAAATCTACGATTCGCAGACCCTCAAATTTCAAACCGCTGAAAACGGATCGATAAATCCAGGATAAAAAAAAAATCGTTTATCGCAGATTTTACGCAACGGTGTACATACATACGTTTGGCAAATGGACGCGCGATGTTTCAGTCGCTCTCGCCAGTCACGGCGATTCGAATTCGTCGCTCGTGACGAGGAATCGGTTACATCGGAAAACCAGAAAGGGGACAGAGTTCATTTCGCTCGCTGAACAATGCCGGGGGTCGTTTTTCAGGTGGCGCACGCTCTCAACTGTCCCACCACCAGCGACAGCGAGCTGGCGATTTGCTTGCGTAACCAGGACGTAGACAGGCTGCTGCACGTAAAAATTCACAAACCGAAATACGTGCCGGCGTACGCGCCGTTGATCGATCGCGCCGTCATCCCCGACAAACCGGTCAATTTAATGGAGAACGTCCAACTCTTCGGCAGGTAGGATTTTCCTGTTCGATGATGCGGGAAATGAGGAGCGAGGTGTTTACATTTTTGAACGTTGACTGGTGAAATGAGGGGAAATCACGCTTATTTGATTCCTCCGGGGAATACGAATTAATTCGGATTAATAAGAAGTCCCATGTTGCTTCCAGCTTCGACTTGTTGTACGGGGTGACCGAGTCCGAGAAATTTCACATCCTACCACCAGTTGCTTTGTTGCACGGCATGCTTGATGGACAGCGAGATGAGGTGCTGCGAGATCATGCCAAGGTAAATTTACTTTTTATCAATTTGCCTACCTTCACGAAGCAATTATTGTGAAATGGTTATTGGAATCCTTGATCTTTTAATCTTCGTATCTTACGGAATCTAATATCTATGATAAGAGTTCCCTCTCAAAATCTTGAATCTTCAGATCATTAAATTCTTAATCGGATTTCCATTTTTATTCTCAGATTTAGATCTAATTTTTAATTTCCCGCTGCTTTTAGACTTTGCAATCTACGTTCGAAATTTTATAAACAAATGTTGAGATAATTACCAAACTTTCCGCTTTAGACTTTGAATCCTCACGTTTTCGAAAATCCCAAATCTTTACACGGTGATATAAAAAAATGTGTCCTCAGGCGACGCACGAACTGGAGTCGGAGCTGATCCTGTCGAAAGTGCTGGAGCAATACGGCGAATTTTTCAACGGATTCACGAAGGAGTACGCCACGAAGAATCGGGACATGGTGCTCGAGGCGTTATCGGATAGCGGCACCGTGGCGCCGCTAATAATGACTGCCAATTTGCATTCAAGGGCGAACCCGAAGAGCTACATGTACGTCTTCTCGCATCCGAAAGCTATGCAAGACTACTCTGGCGTAAGTAGGTCTCTCAACGATACAACGAAGATCGATTATCCCGGCTCAGACGCCTCTCGACAAAGCGGGAAAAATATTGCGCATAAGAAGGAACGAGCGAGAGAACGGTGGGGTGGCGGGGAAGGGGGAGGATAGGGTGGACTGACGGGGATGATGAGTTAAAGTGCACTTCCTTCAACGCTCCAATTCGTGCAGCTTCATGCAACGTTGTTGTTCCCTGATGCGGAGCATTGCTCCTGAAAACGGAGAGCATTTCTCATCGCCGCGCTTTATCGAACAATTTATGTGTGTGTGTATCTGTGTGCGTGAGAGAAATGCGAAATTTCCTTTTTTAATTCCCTAAAACGCGAAAGAAAGGAGAAAAAAATATGCCATGGTTTCCTGCAAGAATGGTAAAAAGTGTTGATTGTTTAAAGAGAGAGAGAGAGAGAGAGAGAATGAAAGAAAATACTCTGATTGTTTTTCTTTTGCAAGACTTCCACAAATTTGTGAATTTACATTTAGTATACATGACAATTGAAAAATTCTACCTTTAATAATTTATTTTACACTCCTGCAAATGTACTTGAAAAAAAATTGAAATTTTCAACAAACAAATTTATGAATTTACCTTTAGTATACATGATACTTGAAAAATTCTACCTTTAATAATTTATTTTACACTCCTGCAAATGTACTTAAAAAGTGAAATTTTCAAAATTATTATTACAAATGATGGATACTAATATACAAAAATTAATACGTATAAATTAATATATTTTTGCCCTTCACATTTATAGATAATTTCACGTTACTATTTTTAAAAAGTTGGCGACTAAAATGTTCAATGAGGAAAACGAAAATGGCGGTGAGGCTTCCAATTAAATCTATTAATGAAAAATCGCGTTCCCAGATTAACCGACGAGCTATTTCAAAGGCTGGGGCGGCATTTTTGGGATGTTTAACATAGTTGGCATTGTATTCATTGTCCCTCTGCTTTCTTAGCTTGGTAGGAACGAGTTGTGACCTAGTGGCGACCATTACGTTCGCACAGTCGGGGAAAGAAAAATCCGGGTTGCGAACCCATTTGGATTTCGGCCAACTATTTTTATCGTCGTTGCGTACGCCCTGGCAACGACCTCACCATGCAGTAACCGAGAATATCGCTAAATTGAATGTACCTTCGGGTACAACGCCATCGTTGCGTCAACAAGGATATTAGATTTTAAATCTGCAAATAGCGATTCACGCAGCATACATCATTTCCATGTCAGCTCTCTCTCTCTCTCTCTATCCATCTCTCGCACTTTATCTGTCTCTTTCTCTCTCTATCTCTCCCCCGTGTGCGCGACGAACGCGGGTGAATTTTAATTTCCACCCGTTCCCGTAAATTCCGCTCTTTATTGAACTTTACAAATTGACGCGTTTGTAAATACGCTCGGTTTATCGTGCTAAAAATAATTACGAACGCGATAAATCTGAGAACTCGCATCGAGAAAATTTCAATCGAAAATTATTGGAGGGATTGATGATGAGCGAGTTTCCGTGCTTGAAAAAAAAAAGCGCGTAAAAAATCGTTTACTAGAAAATATAAAAGCTTATTGTTGTTTCTTCTCCTACAACAATTGCTTATCTCGATGTGTGCTGCGAGCTGCGTTTCCATTGAATATTGAAGGATCTCTGTTATTGAGCGACAATCGTGTAATTTGACAGATCAAATATTGAAGAAATTAATAAAGTATGTATGAGCAATTTCATTCGTTTGATGCGAGTTTAATATTACTGGTTCTGAAGATCAAAGAAAGCTGTAATATACATTCCTACCAACTTTGCAGCAATAAGTTGAAAGGTTCATCGCAGATATTGCAGATTTTGACAGCTTTTTTAACGTTAATCTCTCGGCGCATTAATTTTGCCATTGTCGATGGAATAATAAATTAATTAAAGATTAATTTAAATAATGTAAAGGTTATTTTGAAACATAAATGTATTATAAATCATATTTAAAAAATTTTTTAATTTATTCCTTTTGAATAAAATTATATCATAATTGATAAAACAATAATTAAAAACGAACTTTGATTAGAGACGCTTGTAAACAAAAATTTAATAAAGGTTTGAAGAATAAAGAAAATGTCGCTAAGAGAGAAAAATGGTTTTGAAAGATTTTTCATATTTAAATATATAAAATTTGTAAAAATATAATTACATACAAAATTATTATTATAAATTTAATAATTTTTATGTATAAAAATGTATAGTTTTTATTTATATGTAATAATAATAATAACAGTAAATAAAAACAGCTAAAATGAATGGCGCACATGTAGCATACGTTATAAATTCATGTAATTAATTTCGAAATAAACTTTAATCTCCCCAAAATTCAATTTAATTTAAAACATAAAATATTTTGTTAAAAATATTTTTATTAAATAATGAAATATTCAAAAATTTAAACATCTAATAGTATATTAGAGTAAATTTAATAACATAAATGTATTATCGATTATAATTGTTTGAAGATTCATAAACAGCAAACGATTCAATTATTTAAAATATTTTCTATCGGAACATTTGCTAAAAATTTTGAAAACACATAATGTATTTTCATTCTGCGTAAAAAACAAATATTTATCCTGAAACTAAAATCTTTCTTAATCTTGTAAGTACGAATATAAAAATAAAAAGTATGTAAAGAGGATCAAATAAATAAGATCAAATTATCAGTAGATATGACGAATATAAGAATAGAGATATAAATTTAGGAGATATAAAAAGAGAAGGGGGGAAGGGGAGGGAGGTTGAAAAGAGGTAACAACCTAAACTTCGATATTTTCGAGTTACGAGTGGCATCGAAGTATCGATAAAATACGTAAAATGCGTCGGTATAAAAGCACATGCAGTGATCTTGTTATGTTGCAGCAACAACATCAGCATACCGTGCACGGGGAAGAATTGCCTTATGTACTGGGTGTTCCATTGGACGGCAGCAAGTACGACTTACGAGGTCGATACGACATCCGAGAAACGCTGTTTTCAGAAGCCATTATGAACTGGTGGTGCAGTTTTGCCTATAATGGGTAAGTTGCTAAAAACAGAAAAAAAAATACATTCAGCGACAAATAGTATATATCTTGTAAAGCATCCTTCGTGCATTTTATCTTTCATGAAAATTTAAATTTAAGCTTAAACGGTTTAATCGAGGAAAGAGAAATTAAAAAATGCGTTTCAAAAGAAAATAAATATTGAAATATCTTCCCTTTTTTAACTATTAATTTTTATATTAAAATATTAATTTGTTACGTAATGAAATACCTAATTGTAAATATGAATGATAATGAGAATATTAAAAAGTATTATTAATTTGAATATTGGACAAGCGGAAAATATTTTTAAAACGCATTCTCTTTGCATTCTGCGTTTTATTTAATACAACGAATTATGAATTGAAATATACGAATAAAATTTGCAGAGAGAGAGCTATTTGCTGATAATAACGTATTTGATGAAAAAAAAATAAATGTGGAACCAAATAATTTACAATAACATAGAAAATAATCATAGTGCGTATTAAAGTTAAATGAAAGTTAAATAAAAGTTGAACGTATGAGTGGCGGTAACCGCGTAGAAACGATCGTATTTAATAATAATGGCGAACAATTGTTGTTGGGCGTCGAGGCGAAAATTTCTAGTTACTAAAGTTGGACTTGGAACATACGTATTTGAGGACGTGATTTTCAATTAACTAAACATTCAGTCGTATATATAATTAAACCGAACAGTGGTATATTTTTCCGTTTCACATTTGGATACAACCGAACTTTATAATATACATCAATTTAAAATACAGTTTTAAAAATATTAAAATATTAAACGAAATAAACTGGAAAATAAATAAATTGAGGAATGGGCTTTCAGAGAATAATTTTAAAACGTTAATTAAAATATATAAATTACTTGAAAAAAATCAAAAAAGGTTTTTAATAAAATAGATACATAAGGTGACAAAATATGCAAAATTTAGAAATTCAATAATGTTAAGTTTGAATTATAGATTTTTAAAGTAAATTATGTTGCAATCGTGTGCGCGATTGCAACATAATTTACTTTAAAGAGCACAAGTGAATTCGAGATCTTTTAACAGTGACACATGTTTTTGATGCTTTTAATTGACGCATTATTTTAAACTTAATAGCTGAATAGCATCATGTCAGCAAAACTCGAAAAGAGGAAATACAAAACTGATAAATTTTATCTGACAGTTTATTAAAAATTTGTATTAAATTAAATTATTAAATTTTTTTCTTGCTTTATTCGATCGTTAGTTCGAGTATCAACATAACAAGCGTCAAATTGCGCTAGTTAATTTAAGACAAAAATCCAAATGAAAAAATACATACATATGATATATCGCACGCGTATATTTTTCATTCGGATTTTTGTCTTAAATTAACTGGCGCAATTTGACGCTTGTTATGTTGATGCTCGATATTGTTAAATTAACGATCCGTTGAATCGGCTGTTTTAATTTGCGCGATGAAAACAGATTATCTACAGCTACGAATTATTTCGACATTTCGTTTCATCCAGCGAAATGTTTCATTTTGTTCGGTTGAACAAGCCCAATGTTTTCGTGATACAAAGCCACTTTTGTTTAAACCGCAGTATATCGAATTTCTAATTATATTAAAAATTTATTTCAATATATGTATAAAATCGTTTAAATCGGGAAATGAGATTAAAATATAAATATTGCATTATACATAAATTTAAAAGCGTAAAAATATCTCTGCATAAATAAGGATATTGAATCTGCAATTGTGTTAAAACTCTATGGGTTTTCAAATTTTTGCATAATTATTTAGACTTATATTTTTATTTGGCTTGCATAATAAAAATGTTAAAATCTATCTTGGAATGATATCAAAATAAAAAGTACTAATTACTAAATTTAACGTACTTTTAAATTTTATTATAGAACATTCTATTATTAATAATAATAAATTTGTGTGCGATAGAATTATTATGCAATTTTAAACTTTGGAATTATTCAGCCATATTTTGTTATTTTATTATAAAATAAAATATTACAAAATTGGAAATAATAAAATACTATGTGTATATGTTATTTTTTTTATCTGTATATATCTTTATATTAAAATATTTTAAAGTTTAATTTTTGAATCTCTGATTATGTAAGAATTTACTTAAATGTTTTTGGAAAATGAAATAGTATTTTTTTATATTTTTTTTTCATTTAAAATTATTTATGCATGCTTAAATATACTTTTGAATATTAAAAAATTTTTTATATAATTTTGTTCACAATTAATATTTAAAAGAATAAAAGATTTTATTATTCCGTTCTTTAAACGTCGAAAACATGACACAAAATATTTATAAATGAAAAAACAATGAAAAATAAAATATTTATAAAAATGAAAAACAGACAAATAACAGAGATTCTCGTTAAGTACTAAATATTGAAATTGACAATTTTGATGAAGCATTAAGAACATAAAATCCCTACCTTCGTAAAGAATTTCTGCAAATAATTCTGAACAAATTCATACCTATGTTGCATAATATTTATAGACCCGTCTTTCGCTTTGCGTCCACGCAAATTTTTTGTCAGATACTGCTTTTAGCATACGGTTTGACTAGAGTTTATTTATGCATTACGATGAGTGAAACTCGAGGAAACTAGGTCGGTGCAATTAAGCAAAACAGAGATATTTGGATTTAACGTAGTAAACGTTACGCGTTTGTAAACGTCGCGCAGCATGATCGATATTTCATGCGTCGCTGTATCTAACGTAAGGGCGCGTCTCTTTGCGAGGATAAACGACGCGCAGCATCTGTACAGGAGCACCGACGGTGATGAAGAATGACAAAAGAACGGCTCTTTTTGTCGTGTACATGCGCCGAGCGAAATCGATCGATCAAACGTATCGCGATGTATTCGTTCAATCTGCCCGAAAATCATGCTCGAATCGACGCGCGTACGAGACGGGGTGACATATGATATTTTTAAAAAATTGGCAAATGTGTTGATTAATACCGGAGATTCTGTGCATACGTGTGAGTTACAATGCGTTGCGTTTTGGAATTTCGAATGAACGCGGGAAAGAGTTGGTCGAATTAAAATTCCACAGTCTAGATATTCAGATTTTAAGCGCTTAAATTACGAAACGTCGGGTATATTTTATAATTTGCAAACATTCCGGGGGAGGCGGGGGAAAATTTAAATTCCGTGAAATTGAATCCTCAAAAAAAGCCCGATCGCGCGTTAATTTTACGGTAATTTTACGAGCAGACGAGACACTATCGAATATCCCCATTGGATTATATCGGATTATTCGATATCTTCTTCTCCCATATCACATTCCAATTTCCTCGTGGTATTAATCCCAAGTCGGCCAGTATCGTCCGACAAAAGTTATTTCCGCTGCCGCATTAATCATTCGTGCGATTATTTATCAAAGAAAATACTCGAATCCCTCAGGAGTCCCAATGTCGTCAAGCAACAACCCTACCTGACTAATGGGTTCAGGGAATGGGGTCAGTACGACATCGAGTGGCCAGAGTACGATCCTGTCAATCAGACATATTTCAATCTGAGTAAGTCCAAAATATAAAATCTTGACACTCGTACACCTTTGAAGCAGAAAAGTTTTAAATAAAAAAATGTTTATATTATTTTACATTATTTTATATTACTTTACATTCTTTGTCAATATATTTGTCACGATTAAAATAATAAAACGAGATTTAGTTTGGTTTGATTAACCAGTCAAGAGATTGTTCAATAATTCCAATTAATTATTTGACACATTCTCCCTCGGATGCAGCCATACCGCCTAACATAGGTACGCATTATCGCGCGGCAGAGATGCAGTTCTGGAATGAGGACCTGCCGAATCTGCTCAGGCACCCGAATAAAGACATCTCGGCCCCGACACGATCGAGAGGACCGCGACCGCAGATTCTCGACTTCGCCGACGGGATCGGCAAATATGCCAACAGTACCGCAAATCGAAAGTACGAGAGCTATGATGTCAGGTCGGTGATAGGGCTTGGTTAATTAATTACACGTGTATTTGACATTCCTGCTATCGGAGGAATTTTTCTCGACAATCGAGAATTTTATGTACAAGAGGAAAACGTGCGACGCAAAATTGCTTTCGCTAAAGAGCTATTAGTTTCAGTGTCAGTTTGCTTAATTTCGTGTATTCATTCATCTTGTTATACAGGGTGTTTCTTCATAAATGCGAAAAATTTTAGAAGATGATTCTTTGTCGAAAATTAAGGGAGGGGTTTTCAACTCCAAAAATGGGAATAAAAATTAGATTTCTATCTTTTTCTCAAATTTGGAACAAGTTAAAGAAATTAAATTAGGTGGATATTTTCTACTAATAAAAAGGTTATTTATCAATATTTTTTCAGCCTTCCGTATTGTTGTAAGGGGATGAAACTAGCAATCCCTATACAATTTTTTGTTACAATTTTTTAATGGGCCGGAATATAATGATCTAAAAACATGCATTAAAAAGTTTGATTTATTTAAAAACTTTTTTATTTCTTTAATTTTTTTCATAAAATCGATAGATTTCAAGAAAAAGAATAAAATATATTATCGTGTATAGCACAATGCTAAATAGGATAAGTTTTGAATTATGAGAAGTTAAATTTTAAAATAAAAATAAAATTAGAGTAAATGTTGGAAAAATTGAAACGACAACAAAATTATAATAAAAACCTAAAAATTTTAAAAATAAAAAATAAAAAACCTAATTTTTACTCCCATTTTTGGAGAAGTGTAATTCCACAGGAAAAGATGTAGGAGTATATGATTATATGAAAAATCTCCCTTAATTTTCGATAAAGAATCATCTCCTAAAGTTTTTCGCATTATTAAGAGCACCTTATTAAGAAACACCCTATATATTGGAATTTGCGAAACATATTTTTCAGCAGATATACAACCCCATCGAGCGTATCTAACGCGAACAAGCCATTTTCAATCGCGATTACGACGGATGGAAACGCCGGGCAGGGGTCCACGGTGGAGACTGACACGTTTAAAAGCTCGTCGACATTGATGATGGTGATTGTCTTCTTCGTGGTGTTTATACTGATAAACTTTACGGCCTTCCTGTACATCTACTATAAAAAGCAGAGCATGAGGGGGAAGGAGAAATCGTTGAAGAGGCGAGCCAGCGAGAAGAAAGACGACTCCGTCAAGAGGTCGAAGACTGATAAGCACGAGAACCATTACGGCCAGCTGGGCTACAAAAGCGACAGCAAACCTGATCTGAACGATGTGATAAAGAATGACAAGGCGTACGACAACAATTCCAACTTCGGGCGCAGATCGAAACTGTCGAGGCAAAACTCCAGCTCCACCATTGACACTCACATCAAGGTCAGGGAGTGGATTCAACAGGAGATTGTGCACAGGTGAGAACGTCAAAGGGAACAGATTTTTCGATAATAGTAATTAATCGGTAATGTTATCTTCCTGAAAAATCTTCGATATCATTTTAATGCATATCACATTCACGGATATTGCATTCGTGTACCGATGTAAATTTCCTCGTTAAAATGAAATTAATAACTTATTGAACGCATGCAATTATTGTAAAATGATTTATAACGAAATTGATTGAATTTTGACATAATTCATTCATATGTCCATTGGAATCATTGGATTATTTTATTTCCGACTATTTTATTACTGCTTTATTACATTAATTATTCCAATTATTCTTCTTGGAGGATTTGTAACCTTCTCTCTCTAGAATTTCAAAATCGAAAGTTTCAATATTCACATATTTTTCAACGAATTAAATAATTACTAGATTTGTATCAAGTTCTCTGTCATCCTGACACTGTAGACTATTCGCTGTCCTCGATTAACGTTTCAAACTCGATTTTCACGTCCTTCCTAATTGCGAAGAACTGGAAATACTTGGAGAATGCTTACTCTCGTAAATTCGTGGATCGCGGTAAGGGTTGCGCGACCCAATAATCCAATTAGGGTCCCACTTAAAGAGTGGTTGCTTTGAAACGCGGCCCGTATCACTCAAATCAGAGAATTGAATTTTCCTTCTCTCTTTTACCGTCCGATATTTCGTTAGGTGTATTGACTCGCGAAAACGATTGACAAGTGGCCACCCTAGAAAGTTAATTGAACTCGTTAGAGCGCAACTTCGTATCTCGTCATTTGGCAAGCAATATTTGATTTGCAAATATATACCGTCAACAATATCGTGCCCCCCAGTGTTCGTTGCCGCTCTGATTAAAACGAAAATAAGAACGGTAAAAAAAATACAATTTAGAGAAAATTTCATACACAACGGCGCAATAAAAATAAATAACTTTGCGAAACGTTTGCGTATCATGTATAAATTGCGTAATAAATTTTTGAAATATTTCCATTTACCATTTTTTTCGGCGAAAAAAATTTGTTCCGCATGTTAGTTACATTAAACATACATTTATATTTTCGGACTGCTCATCACCGCGACATATACATATTACTTTTCGGTCTATTAATACGACTGCAATATAATGGGCATCGTAAAATCATTTTATTTACAATGTGCTTGATCATAAACATGCATCGTGGCATGCGAAACAAATAAACAAACGTGTATTATCAAAGGAGTATGTTTTCGCAAAAAAAAAAATAACTTTCCGTTTGTTACGCATACACGAGATTAAAATTGATTAATTTCCGGAACGTGAGAGTGTAATTGTTATTATTGCTGGTTGTTATCATTTACGAAATGGCCTGTCATTGATAATAACTCTCAATAATAATCAGTTGCCATCGATAAAAATGAACAGCAGCAATTACGTTAAGTTTACATTTCGCGTAAAACTTGTAACCGTGTTATTCGACGCATGTTCGAATATTAAATTACACAGCGGTTTTCTCAGTAAAAAATTCATTAGCCGAATATTTTTCGATAACTAAAGCCGATCGATATTATTTTCCAAGTTATTTTTTTACTGCAGATATTAATTGAATTATGGGAAAAATTAAGCGATTGTTAAAATGTTGAAATTGCAAATAGAAATGAAATTCTAGATTTAATTTGAAAAAATATTAAGTTTCATTTCTATTTATTTTTATTCCCTTGGGAATATTTGTAATATTAATCTTTTGATTTTCTTTCGTCTGTACAGATGTTCCCCGAGGTTTCTCCGCAAAACACGAGAAACGTTACAGAAGGAGCATCAGGAGAAGCTAAACAAGCAACAGCAAGAAGAGAAGCAACGTATAATAGAGGAGGCGCTGAAGGAGAAGAAAGATGATCCGATTTATGACGAGAGTCCGGCGCTGGTTGTGCGTCCTGGGAAAAAGTCGAAACTGCCGAAGATCTCGGTGGCGATCGACGCCACTCCAGCGACTAGAACAGAGTCCGTCCTGAATCAAGTGCCGATCGAGTTAACGAGAAGTATCGAGGTGTCAAAGGAATACGAGCCGAGCGCGAGGGAATACGATCAGCTGATGACACCCGAGGTGATTGTCATCGAGCATCATCATTCCAGAAGCGATCCCCTGCCGATGGAGAACGTCCTGAAGACGACGATGCCGAATTTCTCCACTCCCAGGATCTACGAATCCGACACGGAAAGCGCGAATAGCCTGTACGCCAAGATTAACCCCAAGCTGAAGTCTCGTCTGCCTCGCCCCGGCCCAACAAACGTCGAGACGCCAGTGTCCGATCAATTAAAGTACGAGAATCCTCCCGAGGAGATCTACCTAAAGACCGGACCGATCTTGACGACCTTCGGCGCAGGCGACGTGAACGTCACGTGTCGGGAACCGATCATGGAGCGAGAATGCATCAGTCCCGAGGAAGCTCTGCAGACGATCAAACGCCGAAACTATCCCAAGGTGCTGCCGGACATCGAGAAGAGGCGATCACTCCCGGCACCGAACAGCCTCTTCGTGCCTAAACAGCACGCGAATTCGTTGAAGGACTACAAGAATGGAAATCGAATGAACTTATCTTCGAGTCAACCCCCATTGCCACCTCCCAGGATGTTCGGGCCGTCCAAGAGCCTCGAGAAGAGCGCGTTCTTCATCGAGGAGAACGAGAACCAGAGCGAGAGCGAGCCGATCACGACGAACCTGCACGTGGGTCCCCTGCTGAGAAGACAGGATTCCACCAGGAATAACTCCGACCCCAACATAATAGATTCTCTGGAGGAAAGAAGCGTCCAGCCTGGCGGAAGCGTGGATACCATTTACGCCAACCCGAAGTGCCCGCTTCACGGGGGCCAATATCGCTTCCCGCCGACCTCGCACAGCGTCGACGAGGATATCGGGAAATCCGCCGCTCTCCTAGAAGCGGGCAATCCAAATTGGTACAAACCAAGCGAGTCCCCGATCGTAATGACGTCGACATCCGAACCGCAGATCGTGGTCGCCAGGTACGAGAGAGACGCAGCGGTGGAACCCAAGATCGTGATAACGCCAAGAGTGGTTAATCCATGCCAAGCCAATCAATACCCACCCACCCCGGCATCGGAGGACAACAAGATCGAGCACGAACTTAGCACGAACGTTTCCCACGATCCATCGCGAGGATCCTCGGAGAGGCTGGACGAGAGGAGAGAGCCGCGGATAATCATCACGCCGCGGGAGCCGAAGAACAGCGGTCTGAAGCAGCCCAAGATCATCATAAAGCCGACGGCGAGTCTGCCGAGGGGCCGGGATCAGAGGAATATACCGAAGGTGTCAGCCATACCATCCCCGGAACAGCAGAACTGCCAGAACAGCGAGAGAGACAGGGCGCTGGAGCAGAGGGAGAAGCCGTCCCTGAGGGAGAAACCGAAGGTTACGAGGATACCGTCGTTCTCGCGCAGGCGGGAGGAGGCGGGGGGGATCGAAAAGCCGCCGTTCCTGGAGACAGCGACCGGTAAAATCGCGAACGCGACGCCATCGACGTCCGACGCCAGGTCGTGCATACCGACGCCTACGCCGACGGCGACGACGCCGATGATGCCGAGAAGCGAGAAGACACCCAGCACGGACTCGTCGTCCGCCAGCAACGGGAATTCCAGCAACTCCAACACGGGGACGATCAAACGCAAGCCGGCGAGCAAGAAATAATTGACCCTCGCCGACGCGGATTCGGATATTCCGATTCCAAACCGATGCAATTACAGCTCCCGACCTTTTTCTGGTCATAGAGAGAGAGAGAGAGAGAAAATATTTGCAACATGTTAAATTTTTTACATAAGTCTTTACTCATTTGTCGTACCATAAGCTTATAAAAAACAATGGAACAACTATACTTTCCTTATACAAGATTAGCATTATTTATTAATAACTTCAGAGCGCGATAGACTTATATGTATTTACTTGATATTTATGTGCATCTTTTTTTATTATCGTTATTAATATTCTATTATTTTTCTACGACTAATTAAAATACTCAACGGATACAGATCTAGTTGTATATCATGTAAATATTAATACCGTTGATGTTTAAGGCGATAATATCATTAAGCTTTAAGTCCGCGAAGTGAATCATATTAAAGTTTACAAGACCGCTCCAATTGCAAATGATTACACAGGCCAGCGAGGTTTTTTTTTTTAAGATGTAATAGTGATTTCCGACGTAATTTTGTGCGCTGAATCCGAATCTGGCCGCCGAATTTGCGTTGCACGTCACGTTTTTGAGTAATTTGTAATTGAATGGCTCAAAAATCGCTATTTTGGCCAATTTCATGAATTTATTGCAAGGAAACCAAATTTTTTGAAATATTTCTGCCAATGGCATCGTATAATACTCACTTTTGCCTTTTAAATCCACTTTCGATTACCGCCGCACGATTTTTCTTCGCTGAGATATGTATGACGTTGTAAGAAAATTTACGTTAAAGAAAATTTATATAGACATCAATATGGTAGATCCATGATGTTGAAAGTTGAAAAGACCGACATATATCAGGTTCGGTTGTCCAAAAAAGTATTGTAAAGAAATATCTAATACAGTTGTTACACATTTTGATAAATTTTTCTAAATTTTATGCCTTTTTATTGTGATTCTATTCGCCATATTGGATGCGCCATTTTTAATTTCAAAAGGTGACAGAAGATTTAAAAATGTATATTTTTATCCTAATTTTGATTCGTAGTGAAATAAAGTGGTGACACGGTTGATTTAGAATGGCTCATTAGATCCCTATGAATGACCAGTCTTATGACTTGTATATCTGAACGAAAAAAATCGTGCGGCGGTAATCGAAAGTGGATTCGAAAGATGAAGGTGAGTACTATACGATGCCATTGACAGAAATATTTCAAAAAAATTGGTTTACTCACAATAAATTCATGAAATTGGCCAAAATAGCGATTTTTGGGCTATTCAACTATAAATAACTCAAAAACCTGACGTGCTACGCGAATTCGACGGCCAGATTTGGATTCAGCGCACAAAATTACTTCAAAAATCATTATTGCATCTTAAAAAGAAATTTTGACCCCCTTTTTCGCAGGCCTGTGTTATTTGAGCGATCAATTTAAATGAAGTTTGCGTATCATCGGTTAGTCATAATCAGCTGATTGTTAATAACTTCGAAAGCGCTCGCGCTTTAACTTTATACGATGAAAATATATGTTTTTTCGTACTTTTCCAGCAGAAAATCCGGAATGAAAGAATAAATTCCACCTCGCGATTTATCATCCCCTTACGCGGACGCCGCGCGGTGTATCCCGCGAACTTTACACGCGTCCCGCAAACTTTGTTATTAAGTGAAGCAGGCTCTATAAGTCGCGGGGATGCAACGGCCGTGAAACGGCAGGGCGAATCGGGACAAAGTGGTTGGCGAATTCTCACTTATATTACCGGCGGGATCGAATTGATTTTCAAAGTTCGCCAAGTAATGGGATTCTCTTCGTCTCCGACCGTCGCCACGTCGAGAGGAAAACGCCATTTTCGCACGAACCCTTCCCCCCCCCCTCCCCTCCCGCTCCCCTGTCTCTATCCCCCCCCCTCCCCCCCCATCCTCCCTCCGTCCCGCCCCACACTCCCGATCCATTCTCGATCGCCGATTTCCGAATCGAGCCAGGTTATAGCCCAGCGATCATCGTTGAATGGAGAAAAATGAGAGAAAAAAAAAAAAAAAAAAAAAAAAAAAAAAAAAAAAAAAAAAAAAAAAAAACATGAACGAATCGAGATGGACGACAAAGTGACCACCTTTCGGGAAAAGTCGACGTTTGATTGAGAAATTTCCTGGATCGAGTTATTCGTCGAATGCATCCGAGTTCCGCGTTGTCATCAGTTTGCGAGCCCGAACTGCAAGACACGTGCAATCTCTGACACGCGATAACTCGGTCATATCCGCGGGAGCTGGAGTATGCATCTCTAAGTTGGCGTTTAGATGCCGGTGTTGTCTCTCTGTCTTATGCGACAGCGTGTAACCAGTAATCATCCACCGCGCACGAGACCTCCAGGTCGCCGTGACAGGTGCGTGACACCGCGTGACCCATTGTCGGAATGATATACTATCAGAAGTAACGGGAGGGAACAAAAGCCGTCTTCCAGAGACGTCGCCGGAATCGAGTTGAGATTCCTGTAGAATAATAATGAAGTAGAGCAAGGATCTCTTTCAGGAATCTCCGTGTCATCTAAAATAGAAATTTAACATTTTCGTCAGAAATTATCAACAATATAGAGAATACTTATTTAATAAAAATCACAAATCGAGCATAATCCAGTAAACACAAAGTAATAGTGATATAACATTAATGTTATTATATAATTTCCTATTCAATAATGTAACTGTAATGTAACATGCTTTTTATATAACAGTATTATTGTTGATTGGAAAATTATAACATTAATGTTATATTAATGTTATATTAATATTATATTAATGTTATATGAAGGATGTTTTGTATGTACAATCCCAGCAAAAAGTAGCTGAAAATCAATATTGACGAATATATCCCACTTGGTGTATTTTGAGTAAGAAATTGTGTGGAATATTACAATTTGATCTACAGTACAGAGATGTATTTTTTAATATTTATTGCATTTTTACTGAAATATTCAGAATTTTGTTAATCGAAATGATTAACTTTTGGCAGAGAATTTTGCCTTGTGACAGATAGATGGTTAACTTCATTGAATTATATTTAATATCTTTTTAACCAGTTAGTACTTGTATAATATTATTTGACCAAATATTTCCTCTGTCTAAACTTTTGCAAATTTTAAACAAATTCTGAATATTATTTCTATATGTTTTTGTCATTTGAATCGACGTGGTTATACGTTTCCCCATAAGAACACATGTAAATTCGGTGCAAATTAAAATCCTATCTTGTAAACGCTTTAGTGAATCGATTTAAAAATTGTACTCAAGATTCTAAACATATGTAAAGACATTCTGTATAATTTTCATTAAATTCTTAATATTTTGAAAACAGGTACAAAACATCCTTAATGTTACATTAATATTATATTAATGTTACATTAAGGATGTTTTGTATGTACAATCCCAGCAAAAAGTAGCTGAAAATCAATATTGACGAATATATCCACTTTTGGTGTATTTTGAGTAAGAAATTGTGTGGAATATTACAATTTCATCTACAGTACAGAGATGTATTTTTTAATATTTATTGCATTTTTACTGAAATATTCAGAATTTTGTTAATCGAAATGATTAACTTTTGGCAGAGAATTTTGCCTTGTGACAGATACATGGTTAACTTCATTGAATTATATTTAATATCTTTTTAACCAGTAAGTACTTGTATAATATTATTTAACCAAATATTTCCTCTGTCTGAACTTTTGCAAATTTTAAACAAATTCTGAATATTATTTCCATGTGTTTTTGTCATTTGAATCGACGTGGTTATACGTTTCCCCATTAGAACACATGTAAATTCGGTGCAAATTAAAATCCTATCTTGTAAACGCTTTAGTGAATCGATTTAAAAATTGTACTGAAGATTCTAAACATATGTAAGGACATTCTGTACAATTTTCATTAAATTTTCAATATTTTGAAAACAGGTACAAAACATCCTTAATGTTACATTAATGTTATATTACCGTTATATTACTGTTACTTTGTGCTTACTGGGTAAGGAAAGTCTGCAACAAATATGATATTTAGAAAAAATAATCATCAAGAAATCTTACTCGATGAAAAAAAATTCCCGGTACATTTAATTATCTTATCTTCGAGCTTAACAATCTGCGTTTTAAATGGAAACAAACGCGCGGCAAAATTGAGATATATGGGTCTAAAAATAATGAGTGAGCGATAAATTAGATTTGAAATTGGGGGGTAAATCGCAGTGGTTTTAGCTTTCACGCACAAGTTTGCGCCGACGTCGATGAGCGGGATAATTTCCATATGATTATCTGCGGCATGCGCGTCTAATTATCGCACGATAATCAGCGATTAAGCACGAACCCGCGCGGCAACCTCATTATTATGCCCTGGGCGGCGCGTCGGAGGCTGCACGGATACATAATTTCGTCTTCTCCGTCTGAACCAATTAATAAATTTGCACCGGCTGCCTGCCCGCCGGGACAACGTCGGCCCGTCCATTTCCACGGGCGGCCATTGTCTACGAGACAATGCCGGCTACTTGGCAGTTAGAATACATTGTACTATCCGAGAGGGGTAGAACTGCTGAACGCCATGTCAGATTAATTAGATTTCGAAACGAGTACACGAGGTATCCCCCAAGTAACCGCCTCCCTTTAATTAGAATACGGGGATAATTGGAAATAATTGCATCTCGATAGGCTTTCGATGATTGATGAAGGTTATTCCGAAAGTGCATCATGTCTTGATTGATTTCAATTAATACGGTACTTTTTTTTTTTTAGAGGAGATCCTATTTTGGCTGAAGCGCCACGGTGTTCTTTTCAAATACAATTCGTGTTAGTTGTACACCCGCGATGTTAATCAATGGCATGGCGTGTGATTAAAGAAGGGAGTATCCCGCATGTCTTTGGAAACGATCCCTCTCTTTCGAATTCAATCTGTGTGAAGGAAATAAACGTGCAACAGTTCGTTCGAAGACTGCAACTACGTTCTTCAAGCTGTGCAAGTCCTCGTTGACGAGATTTGGTAATCTCCGGATTGAATCCGAGGACTTTAACTTTGTGAGTCTTAGCATTAGTCGAAGAACAATATCTATACAATTTAAGAAAATCGAAAAAAGTCCGTTTCCTGGAAAATTCACGCAAGAGGACTTAAACTTGAAATAGATAAAAATTTTACAGTAAAAAGAGATTCTAACTTTCGGATAGATTTAAGCTTGGATAGAGATCTCAAGGTCAACATTTAAAGATCCAAAGAAAGTGCTTGTAAAATTCTTGTTTGAATCAAGCAAAAAACAATTAAAAAAATATATATTATATTAATTAATGTATAATATATTTTATTAATATATTTAATATATTATATAATATATTTAATTAATATATTTCTCTTCTATTAACCTTCAAATTTTAAAGTTATAAAAGTATGTTTTAGATCAATTTTAAATACACTTTAATCAAACATGGATTCTTTAAATTTTACATCCATGTTAAAGATATAACGCATGTGAATAGAATCTGTTTTAATGTCTAAAAATTAAAATACTAGAGGCAACGCTACGTTTATTAATAAATTGATAGTTTGAAATTCTTTTCGAAAACGCTCGTCAAATATAACAGAGCGGTTGAAAAGGTGACGTAACTAACCGACACGGGTTCAATAATTCTTTATTAAGAAAGTTGCGAGGGATAACTTCATTAATGTTTGTACCTGTTCGACAGACGCTAGGGGCGATCGAAGTTGAAAATTGTCTGTCGTCGTGGCGACACTCGATAGCAACTTGCGGCTCGCCGACCTAAATCCAATAAAAAAGTACACGTGTACCATAATGTCATATCGCGATTTCTGAAATTCCTTTAAAACAACTAAAACTTACCAAATTTATATAACTACGTTTCAAATTCTTGACATTTATATTTATATTCGAACTTTATATTTTCTCCAAATTCTTAACATTTTATTTTTTTTCAAAATTCTTAACATCTATATTTATATTTGGAATTTATTTTACGTAATTTTAATACTTATTTTAATACTATTTGAAATACTCGATATTTATATTTTTGAATTAAATATTTTATATAATTTTAATATTTAGATTTGAATTTTTTTTCTTATTCTTTTACAACTCTGTTCAACTAATGTTTCTAATTCTTTAAATTATTCTGTCCATAAGCGATCCGACATTTTGAGTCTTTCTTATTTTTCCCCAGCAAACGCCAAGTAACATTTATATAATTGTTAGTTGTAGTTTTTCACAACAATATAACTATAACATAACAGTTATATAACTATTATTTGCTGGATCAAATTCAATGCAATTATCTAAGTAATTTTCATATTTGTCGAAATAACATTTACATATAATGAAGAACGGGGTGAAATAAACTCACCCCAAACGAAGCCTTTCTTTGAACGCCCGCTGATTCGCAGCGGCCAGTCTTTGTGGATCTTCATTTCCATCCGCGAAGTAAATCGAATCTTCTCGTCTCTGCTTCTTTTCACTCGATTTTCACTTTGGCAGAAGTGGGAAAGGCAGCGCGAGAAGAGTGCAATTCGGC